CCAGGAACACTTATTACTGAGCTATATCCCCAGCCCTTTTTATTTTTAATTTGTTTTGAGACAAAGTCTTGCTTAGAGCCTTGATAAGTTGCTGAGGCTGGCTTTGAACTCATGATCCTCCCGCCTCAGCCTCTTAAGCCACTGGGATTACAGGCATGCACCACCATACATGACAAGTTTCATCCATGTTGTAGCATCTTATCAATACTTCATTTTTATAGCTGAACAATATCTCATTTTATAGAAATATCATTACCATGATGCATTTATCTATTCGTCCATTGATAAACATTCGGGTTGTTTCCAACTTTGGGCTACTGCACATAGAAGAATATAACATCTTTAAACAGGATAAGAGAATCACTAATTTAATGGCACTAATATCACAAATGTGTTCAACCACAATCAGCATAAGAGAGCAGAGGTGGAGCTGTGTGTATTGTAAGGGTTCTATGTTTGGGATCAGGGTCTTTGATGAAGGTCCAGGGCCCAGTGTGAAGAGAGTTTGGTGATTCCACCATCCATCCAGAATGAACTGTCACCTCAGACACAAGACCTCAAGAAAAGGCTCTGAGATACAATGTGGTCTACAAGTCCCTGTCTCCATGCTAGAGTCTTATCAGTCTACACCTTTAATGGCACTAATTTAATTAGTGCCATTAAATTAGTGATTCTCTTATCCTGTTTAAAGATGTCATATTCTTCTACGTGCAGTAGCCCAAAGTTGGAAACAACCTGAATGTTCATCAACAGATAAATGCATCATGATTACTTCATGGCTGTGGCATGCTTAGCTGCTAAGAAAGTTTCTGGGCAAAGGTACAGAATGCTTAGCTGCTGTGGCAATGCCCTGCATGAGGAGGCTCCATGCTAGAGTCTTATCAGCCTACACCTTGATCTCAGGCACTCAGCTTCTGGGTATTAAAGAAACTCTCTCATTAGACAATCACAATGTTTCACCAAGCTCCATTGCACCTAACCTGTCCACATAACAGTAACTTGAACAATGGACTTTTTGAGGGGTACACAAAGCTCCTAACATTGCATGTTGCAACTATAGTATGTAACTGAGGAATAAACTGCACAATGTTGCTAACCTGTAACCTGCCAAAGTGACACAATGAACACTACTGTACTACTGATGCCAGTGACCTAATGTAATTATTGAGGGGCTGGGGATGTGGCTCAAGCAGTAGCGTGCTCGTCTGGCATGCGTTCGGCCCAGGTTTGATCCTCAGCACCACATACAAACAAAGATGTTGTGTCCGCCGAAACTAAAAAAATAAACAAATAAATAAATAATATTTAAAAATTAAAAAAATAAAACTTGCCACTTAGAAGCATGAAACCAAAACAAAAAGCTGCAATAAAAAAGATTTAGAGACTTGATTTTAAAAAAAAGTAACTATTGATATAAATAAGGGTGGCAGCTTGGGCAAGAGGCCATTCTGCCCTTCTGCCTTTCTGACCATTCTGCCACCCTGCCATTCTGCCACTTTGCCATTCTGCCACTTTGCCTCTGCCTCCTTTTTGTTGTTGTTGTTGATTTGTTTGTTTTTCTGTGGTGCTGGGATGGAACCCAGGGCCTTGTGCATGCAAGGCAAGCACTCTACCAACTGAACTATATCCCCAGCCTGTCTCCTTTTGATTTCTTTACAGTGTATCTCAGTGATACAGCATTTGTTTAGCATGTGTGAGGACCTGGGCTCAATCCCAAGTAGCACAAAAAAATAAAAAAAGAGAGAGTCAGAGACAGAGAGGAGGCAAAGTACAGAGTCGGAGAAGAATAACAAGTAAAACTGACAAATTATATCCAGAACATTTTTTTTTTGTGTGTGTGTGTGTGTGTGTGGTGTGCTGGGGATGGAACCCAGGGCCTTGTGCATGCAAGGAAAGCACTCTACCAACTGAGCTATATCCCTAGCCCTATCCAGAACATCTTAAAAATTCCTGAGGAATAGTAAGACCAGCAACACAGTAGAGAAATGGGCATCTCTGAGACCTGTCAGGAAAGAAGAAAGACAACAATAGGAGACACAGGAGCAAGGCACAGTCTCACAGATCGTTGGGAAATTGTGCACCGAAATCACAGGCCAAGCCCTGCACCCCACTAGAAAGGCGAAGATCAAGGGCATGGCAGGTGCTCAAGAACGCAGAGCCCGGGCTGGGGATGTGGCTCAAGCGGTAGCGTGCAGCCCGGGTTCGATCCTCAGCACCACATACAAACAAAGATGTTGTGTCCGCCGATAACTAAAAAATAAATATTTTTTTTTTTTAAAGAGAGAGTGAGAGAGATAGAGGTAGAGAGAGAGAGAATTTTTTAATATTTATTTTTTAGTATTTGGCGGACACAACATCTTTGTTTGTATGTGGTGCTGAGGATCGAACCCGGGCCGCACGCATGCCAGGCGAGCGCGCTACCGCTTGAGCCACATCCCAGCCCCTAAAAATTAAATATTAAAAAATAAAAAAAAATGTTTATTAAAAAAAAAAGAACGCAGAGCCAAGGGAACTCCAGCTACTATGAACGTCTCCTCGTCAGCTGCTCTGAAGACACCTGGCCCTGTCTGCTGAAGTTGAAAAGACATGAGGTACAACCAAGCAACTCCACTCCTACGCACAAACCCCAGAGAACTCAGGCGCCTGGGTACCAGGCCACATATGCAAGAATGAAGAAAGCAACCCAAAGACACATTCACAATACAATGGAGTGAAGACAGACCACTACCCTGTGGCTGGTAAATATCACAGACGCTAGTAGGTAAGAAAGGACAGACACAAAAGGGGACATAGCCAGGTGCGATGGCACACACCTGCAATCCCAGCAAGTTGGAGGCTGAGGCAGGAGGATTGGGAGTTCATTGCCAGCCTCCACAACTTAGCAAGGCCCTAAGCAACTTAGCGAAACCTTGTCTCTAAATAAAATATTAAAAAGGGCTGGGAATGTGGCTCAGTGGTTAAGCACCCCTGGGTTCAACCCCCAGTACCAAAAAGGTGGGAGCACAATGTATCATTTCATTTATGATGGCCAAAGCATCGAGCACACACATGCATGCACACACACAAACACACACACACACTGGAACGGCTGAAGGATTTAGATGCATATATGGGTGGCTAAAAAGCTATTCAAGCCTGGCATAGTGGAGTACACCTATAATATCAGCAGCTCGAGAGCCTGAGGCAGGAGGATTGCAAGTTTGTAGCCAGCCTGGGCAACTTGGTGAGACCCTGTCACAAAACAAAATAAAAAATGTCTGGGAATATAACTCAACAGTGGAGCCCCCTGGTTCATTTTCCAGAGAAAGGAAAGCAGAAGGTAGAGATCATTCTTGGGGAGTGCTGGGGTTGAAGGTGAGCTTCATTAAACTTAAACTGTCATGTGCTGTATTCATAATGAAAAGAAAAGGAAAAGGAAACCTGCCCATGATGCTTTGCAGAATTTGGAAGTTTCAGAAACAAATAGCCTCCTGGGGAGTCCTGTCCTTGTGAGAACTCAGGATGGGAAGGGGCACATGCTCCCAGGAGGGTGAGAGGAGGTCGAGGGGTCAGTGTAGTTGGCAGCCATCATCCGCAGGACAGAGGGCTGCCTTGGAAGCAGGATCCTGGAATCCACCATCATTATCCTCTGTGAGGGAGAAGAGGAACCCTGCAGTGCTTCTGGCCACAAGTCCTCAGACACTGAAGTGGAGAGGCCCTCCCAGAGAGTCACTGAGCACTCTCTGTGACTGTCCCTCATGTAGCCAATTCCCCCCTACCCCCCAGACTTGTCTCCCCTGCTCCATGAATCTCCATCAGCTGACCTGAAGCTCCCTGCATAGTTTATTCATTCTGTCCTCTCCGCCCATCTATCCATCAGACTCTATATCAAACCTTGGCATCTTCCTCCTCTCTAGGAGTAAAGACTTACATAGGCCCACGTGCCCATGGGGGTCCAGCTGCCAGGCTGAGACACTCCAGGTGAGCATCCTGGGCCAGCTGTGGTCAGCAGCACTTGCCAGGACAGTTAACAAGCAAATGTAAGAGAATGCATGGTTGGGTACACCCCTGGTGGGTAGGACCCTCCAAGGAGATGGTGGGACAGTATGAAATGTAAGAAAGACCAGGAAGAATTCCGATTTCTTCACATCCTCCCCAGAACTTTTTTCATTTTTAAAATTTTTAAGTATTTATCTTCTGCTTGCTGCAGATGGAACCCAGGGCCCTGCACATACAATGCAGGTGCTCTCCCACTGAGCTGACCCCAACATTTGCCTTTTCAATTATGATCATCCTAGTAGGTGTGATGTGGTCTCTGTGATTTTGATTTACATTTTCCTAATAACTAATGATGTTGAGCATCTTTTCCATGTGCTTATTGGCCATCTGTCTTTAGAGTTTCTGAGCTGGGAATTGAACCCAGGATCTTGCTAAATATGTGCTACCCACTGAACTTCACCCCAGCCCTGTCTCTACATTTTAAAGACAGCCAGAGAATGGGTTTTGTTTGCTACCTGAGACAGACACGCTCCACCTGAGACAGACCCAGAACAGCTTCCCTCATTGCTGGGTTAACAGGATCCTTGTTTTCTTAGAGGAAACAGAAATTAGAGACAAAGGGGGAAGAGGCTAGTACAGGCATCATGGTGGTGCATTCTGGCCCCCAGTTTGCAATTCTGAAGTGGATAAGGACAGTACAGGACTGAACTTCAAATGCAGGATGACCTCCTGGGATGGCTGGGCCCCTATCTCTCCTAGATTCTGAGTCAGACTATGGCCACCGCCCCCTCTAAGGTCAGCAGGGGGTAGGAGTTGATAGCCCCTCACCCCCAATAGTCCCAGACTGCCCATTGTCACTCCGATAACAGACTCCACTCCCAGAACCCCTTTCCCACTCCCAACCAATAGCCCAGCCAGACTGGGCTCCTGACTCTGTACATATAAGGGGACCCTGGGGAGTAAGCATCACTAGGCTACTCCTAAGTGCACCAGCTCCAGCACAGCCACTGACCCTCATTGCCATGTCTCTGACCAAGAGCGAAAGGGCCATCATCATGTCCATTTGGGACAAGATCTCCATGCAATCTGAGATCATCGGCACTGAGACTCTGGAGAGGTGAGCACCATACAGGGTGACCTGAGTGACCAGGTCAGAGGCCAGGGAGAGATGGTAAGGAGAGGTCAGTGAGAAAGGGTGGGTAGCACAAGTTCCTGAGGAAGGGTCACCAGGAGTGTCAACAGGAGACAGTGTGAACTGTGATGTGACTCAGTGGTAAAGTGCTTGTCTAGCATGCAAAAGGCCCTAGGTTCAACCCCCAGCACTGAAAAGAAAGAAAGAAGGGAAGGGGGGAGGGAGGGAGGGAGGACAAAGATGAAAATGAGTGGCAGTGAGGAGGGGGTTAGGGCCAGCCAGTTGAAGAGGAGGTGGGAGCTGAAGGCAGAGCTGTCTCAGTCCTCAGTAGCTCAAACATCTGTTGAACGAATGAATGAATGAATGATGGACACTGAGGGAGAGGCAGTGTCTTGCCACACTGGAGCCTGGGCAATGGGAAAAATCAGCAACACCGACCCTTTGTTTTATTTTATTATTGGCACAGGGGATTGAACCCAGGGACACTAAATCACTGAGCCACATCCCCAGCCCTTTTCATGTAAAATTTTGAGACAGGGTCTCATAAAATTGCTTAGGGCTTCGCTAAATTGCTGAGGCTGGCTTTGAACTCGTGATCCTCCTGCCTCAGCCTCCTGAGCCGCTGGGATTACAGGCGAGGGCCTCCGTGTCAGCAACTGGATGGTTTTGTATTAATATCTCAAAACACTGCGTTAAAATGTGATTTTCCTAAGTTTTGATTTTGGGGGCACCCCTGATTTGATCCACTGCAAGTACTGGTCAGTCTCTGGTCTTTTCAACCCCCGCGCAACAGAAGCCTCCCCAGCTCACTCCCCCGACCTTTCGGCAGGCTGTTCTCAAGCTTCCCGCAGACCAAGACCTACTTCCCGCACTTCGACCTGCACCCAGGGTCGCCACAGCTGCGCACGCACGGCTCCAAGGTGGTGGCCGCCATCGGCGATGCAGTCAAGAACATCGACAACATCGCCAGCGCCCTGACCAAGCTGAGCGAGCTGCATGCCTACATCCTGCGCGTGGACCCGGTCAACTTCAAGGTGGGCAAGTGGTCTGGGGTTCCGGTTGGGCGGGCCACCGGGGTGGGAGCAAGCGCGGGCGGGGCCTGGACGGGGCACGCCCCGCCTACATCTAGCAGAGCTTTACTTGCCCACGCAGCTCCTGTCCCACTGTCTGCTGGTTACCCTGGCTGCGCACTTCCCTGCCGAATTTACTGCTGAGACCCACGCCGCCTGGGACAAGTACCTGTCTATCTTGTCCTCCGTCCTCACTGAGAAATACCGTTGAGCGCCGCCGTCGGGACCCCTCCCTTGCCCCAGAGCCCTCCCGCAACCCCCAATAAATTAGATGAGAATGGAACCACCTGGGTCCTGCGTTCTTAGTACTGGAGGGGAGGAGGGGAGACGCTGGGGGATGCGTTGGGGCATCGTAGGAATGCGGTCGACACTGGGGTCATCCTTGCCTAGAGGATACTCCGAGGGTGGTTTGGGGAGGGTCTTGGCCCAGAGCACCCCAGCACTGGGAGCATAGCATCCCGTGTGGTCTCCTCAGGTCGCACATGCATTTGCGACTCTCCCTGCCCTCCCAAACAGCCAAGAGTTTATGGTTTTGCTTCGCATAGTGGGTGCGGGTCTGCACTCCTGAGGTCCCAACTCCGGATACCCTGGTTGCGGTGGACCTGAAGCTGTTCCCTCTCCCAACCAGGGATCCGCATCTCTGTTCCTTTATGTCTCCTCTTCTCCCTACTGGAGGCTCCCTCTGCTGCAGACATTGCTGGGCGCCAGTTTAGTCCCTCCCTCCGAGAATCTCATGGCATGGGGGTAGGAGTGGAAATGGCCACAATTTGGCAGTGCAGGTTTGAACCTGGTTCACACTGACAAGCTGTGTGATCTGCACTTGCCTGAGCTCTCTGAGCCTCATGCATAAGATGGATTCACTAGATCTTTGATACAATTTTTGAGATCATAATGCAGGGTCTATGCCCAGCAGGCTCATGAACACCCTACACCCCAGCACTACATTTCAGACTCTGCAGCTTGCCTTTCCAAGGTGTGTGCTCATCCAAGACTGGTCTCCACACTCCCTGGCCAACTTAGGGAGGGCAAGAATCTTGGGGTCCAGCCTTTGCAGTGTTTCCCAAGCTGAGGATCCCTCTGTGAAGCAGCACAGTGCCAGGCCTGAAGAGGGATGCTGGAAGATGAACCCTGGCTTTGGCTCTGTTTAGGCCCCCAAGAAGTCAGTGCCGAGGATCAGGGAGAGAAGGGAATTTGGAGGACTCTAGGTCCCGGGGGAAGTCTAGTGTGAAAGCAGCTGGTATTCCATTCTGGAAAGGATTGCTTTCTCCTCCCCATCCCAGCAAACAGGTACATCAAATGTGCCCTGGGTCTGGGCCACACCTGGGTGCATTATGAGATTAGGCGGGGGGGGGGGGTCTCAGAAACTCATGCTAAGAATCACAGGATGGGTGAAGTTGCAATACAGAAAGCCAGGTCTCTAAGGTAGCATGGAAATACAGCTAGGACCCACCCACCCCTATGCCCCTCCCATATGGGCACCTCCTAGTGGGGTTGCCAGCCAGTGAACTCAGCCCTGGGACATGACCCTTCACTAGGCTATAAAAGCTCTGAATTCTAGCAGAGCATAGAAGGGCACACCTATAATCCACATGGCTTGGGAGGCTCAGGCAAGAGGATCGCAAGTGCAAAACCTACTCAGCAACTGAGCAAAGTCCTAAGCAACTTAGCAAGACCCTGTATCTAAATAAAAATACAAAATAGGGCTGGGGATGTAGCTCAGTGGTTGAGTGCCCCTGAGTGATATCCTCAGTACCAAAAAAAAGAGAGAGAACCCAACGTTGCACTGTCTCCTGCTGACAAAGCCAACTCAGAGCTGTCTGGGACAAGGTTGGCAGCCATGGTACAAGCATGGTGTACATACCCTAGAGAACTGAGGACCCTTCTCCCATCGAGCCTCAGGTCCAACGCCTGCCCCATCGCCAACTCCTAACTGGCTGGCTGCACTTCTCTGATCCCAACTCACATGCCGCTTCAACCCACAGGTTGCTAAGGATCCTCCCACCACCAAGACCTGCTTCCTCCAATTTGATCTATTCTCTGGCTCTGCCCAGGTCAAGGCCTAGGTGAGACGGTGGCCAGCATGCTGACTAACACACAGGCCACATAGATGACCTGGAGTTGGCCCTAAGTGACCTGAGGGATGTGCATGCCCACCAGCTGTGTGTGGATCTGGTCAATCTTAATGTGACCACTAGGACGTGATCTGGCAGCCACAGCCAGCCTTGTCACAGGACAGAGAACTCATGGTTCACAGGATGTAGATGTCTGTGGCCTTCAGTCTCTACCACTGCCACAGTCTCTACCACCACTAATGGCACTTTCTCCACAGCTCCTGAACCACTGCCTGCTGGTGACCATGGCAACTCACCACCTGGAAGAATTCACCCCTGTGTGGATGCTGCTCAGATGATGGACATTCAGCCTGTGAAAAGCCTAGGATCAGGGGAGGTGGTGTGGGCTGGCCTTTGCCATTGCTCACGGGAGCCCAGCCCATGGCTAGGATGCTTGGACATCTGAGATGGCATTGAGCTCATGCACAGCAAATGCCAGCAACCACCCACCCCAATTGGCAGGCTGCTGCCAAGGAGATGGCGGAGAGTGGGGAAAAGAACCTCTGACCCGCAGAGTGTGGGTGAGGCGCGGCTGGCCAGGCCTGGCTGCTTATTAACCCGGTGCCAGCCAATAAGTGTAGCTAGGCTGGGCAGGTCCCAAACACCCGGGCCATAAAAAGCATTGCATTCTGTTGGTCCAGCACGCTTCTGGTTCTGACACGGACTCAGAAAGAAATCACCATGGTGCTGTCTCCTGCTGACAAGACCAACGTCAAGGCTGTTTGGAACAAGATTGGCAGGCTTGACACGTACGGTTGGGAAGCACTGGACAGGTGAGTGTTCTCTTCTGCCCTGCTAGGTCCCCAGGTACAACACCCAGTGACTAGCTGGCACCCTACCTGTTATGCCCCCAACCTCCTTGACTTCCCCCACCCACCACTTTCTCACTGCAGGATGTTCATGTCCTTCCCCACCACCAAGATCTACTTCGCCCACTTTGATCTGAGCCCTGGCTCTGCCCAGATCCAGCAGCAAGGCAAAAAGGTGGCTGATGCTCTGGCCCTTGCTGCAGCCAACATGGACGACCTGCCTGGTGCCCTGTCCTCCCTGAGCGATCTGCATGCGCGTGTGGACCCGGTCAACTTCAAGGTGAGTGCTGGCACTGGGCCAGGACAGGTGGGACAGGTGGAGGGCGCAGGTGGCAGGGCAGAGAACATCACCGTTAGGTGAAGCACAGATGCCAGTGGCCTTTACCACCACGGACAGCCCTTCCTCTCTCCACAGCTCCTGACCCACTCCCTGCTGGTGAGCCTCGCCACTAACTACCCAGAGGAATTCAACCCTGCGGTGCATGCCTCCCTGGACAAGTTCTTGGCCTCTGTGAGCACCGTGCTGACCTCCAAATACCGTTAAGCTAGAAACTTGATGGCCACACCCATCCATGCCAGCCTTGCCTCCCGGCCAGGCCTCCTCCACTCCTGGCACCTGCACCTCTTGGCCTTTGAATAAAGTCTGAGCGGGTTTGCAGCCTGTGTGCCCTGGTTCTCTGTGTCTGCTGCATGCCATGATTGGGGTGGTTCTACTTATCTTGGACCAAGGACCCTTATGGGGAGGGGAGGGGTGCTGAGTTGGACCTACTCCAGAGAAGGCTCTGAACCACACCCCAGTCCTGAAAAGCGCCAGACCTCCCAGGGTCCCTCAGAGGGGACAGGGGAGGAGACTCCAATGTCAACACCCTTTTCCGGACTGACCGATCCCCGTTAAACATACAACCTAGGCCAAAACCAAAGGAGCTGGCCTCAATGGCACATGCCTGTAATCTGGAAGTTACTCTGGAGGCTGAGGCAGGAGGAGTATTGCAAGTTTGAGGCCAGTGTGAGCAACATGGCAGGACCTTGTCTCAAAACACACATGCAAACTAAAATAGGCTGCTCCAGATGCAAAAGCAGGTGCCAGAAAATCTGACTCCCACCAGAGGGTAGGTGTGCTAAAGTGAGTGTGCTGTTCCCAGCTGTCCTACCTCTGTCACAGTGACCCTCAGAGAGCAGGTCCACAGTCAGGCAAGGAGAGGGTGGGCTGGCTGGAGCAGACAGGGTGCCCTCGGGAGCTTACGGGCAGAGCAGAGTGTTGCTCCCTCCCTGCAAATCCTGAGGCACAGTGACAGATCAGATGTCCCCAGCCCAGTTCCCCCCTATACCCTGGCTCACTGTCACACATTCTCTGGCCCTGAGGCACTGAGCCATCCTGGGGATCTCCCTGAGGATCTGCCCCTCCTGTTGTTGGCTGCGGTCAGGTATGCCCCTGGCCCAGATGCGGCATCTCAGGCTCCACCCTGGGATCCTGAACACCATGCCTGGCTTCACTGCCCCAGGGCCTTCAGGCCAACCGCCAAAGTGAGCCTGCTCACACTGCACTGGGCGGAACTCGGAGGAGAGCAAGGGCCCCATTCACCACTTTCTGGTCATGGGCCTCTCGGAACTGCTAGGGTGTCCCCTTTTTCCTCTCTCCCATTCACTCCTCTGCCTCTTAGCCAACCCATTTTTATTCAAACCTTGAAAATGCTTAAGGAATAAACTGACATCCATCAATGCTTCCTCTCTCTCTCTCTCTCTCTCACCCTCCCCCCGCGGCCACACACACAACATACACACACACTTTTTTTCCATTATTCAAAGCAGGGAAACAGACCCTGTACCCTGTCTCCCTACCTCACAGAAATCAAAGTGAACATCTAGGGACTGAGTTATGTGGCTTCCATCTGTACCAAGAGGACACTGGTATGGCTGATCCCTCATGTTTGTTTGTTTGTATGTTTGTTTGTTTCTTTCTTTCTTTCAATTGGGTCTCCTAGTTTGCCCAGAATGGCCTTGAATTCCTGGGCTCAAGAGATGCTCCTGACTGAGCCTCCCAAGTATCTGGGAATATAGACATTCGTCATAAAGCCCAGCTTCATTCCAGTTTGCTGATCATTTCTCTTAACTTTCTGTAAAGATTTTTTATCACCTGTTCTCATAAGTTGTTTTTATTTTATTTTGGGTTTTTAAAAAAATTTTTTTTAGTTGTATATGGACAAGACATTTATTTTATTCATTTATTATTATTTTTTTAATGTGGTGCTGAGGACAGAACCCAGTGCCTCACACATGCTAGGTAAGCACTCTACCACTGAGCCACAACCCCAGTCGCTAGTTTTTTCTTTCACTGCAGTACTGGGAATTGAACTCAGGAGTGCTCTGCCATGGTGCTACATCCTCAGCCTTTTTAAAAAATTTGAGACAGGGTCTCACTCAGTGACCCAGGCTGGCCTGTAACTTGTGATCTCCCTACTTCAGTCTCCAAGGTAACTAGGATTATAGACATATCCCATGGTGCCTGGTATCCTTTTTTCTGTCACAGGACTGGGAATCAGACCCAGGGGCTCACCCATTCTGAGCACAAACTACCACAGAGCTCTATCCCAGCCCTTTTACTTTCTGCTTGGCGGGGCTTTTGTTGTTGGTTTGTTTCGGTTATGAGATGGGGTCTCACTGTGTTTCTGAGGCTGCTCTCAAATTCCTGGGATCGAGTGATCTTCCCATCTCTGTTCCATCCCCCTGAGTAGCTGAGACTACAAGCATGTGCCACCACAACTGGCTCCCAGCCCTCTTTCTTATTTACACACGAGGGTTCTTTTCACATGAAGGATGCAAGTCAGGTCCGATGCGGTGGCACACACCTGTAAATCCCAGCTGCTTGGGAGGATGAGGTAGGAGGATCACAGTTTGAGGCCAGCCTGGGCAACTTCATGAGACCCTTTCTCAAAGGAACAGATAAAATGGGATGTAGCTCAGTGGTAGAGCACCTGGTTTCAATCCCCCATCCTGCCAAATAAATAAATAAAAATAAAACATGCAAAAGGTGCAAAAGAATGCAAATCTGACAGCTACTCTGATGCCTCAAGTCAGAGGATTACTTGAGCTGGGGATTTGTGACCATCCTGGGCAACATAGAAAGACCTTGTCTCAAAGAGAGAGGGACAGAGAGAATACATTAAGTGTTTGGTTGAAATATGTTCCACAGACTAAGATTTGTCTTAAAGGGCTCATGTAGGGCCAGGCTTGGTGGCACCCATCTATAATCTCAGCTACTTAGGAGGCCGAGGGAGGAGAATCCCAAGTTTGAATCCAGCATCAGCAAGTTAGGGGGACCCTGTCTCAAAATAACAACTAAAAAGGGCTAGAGATGTAGCTCAATGGTAGAACACCCCTGAGTTCAACCCCAGTATGAGGTGGGTGAAGGCCCAGGTGGTGAAGAGATTGGAGCAAGATGCAGAGAGAAGGTGGTCCCAGGTCTGGAGCAGGTGTCTTGGGTGCCTCTGAGTCCCCAGCATCTTATCCTTCTCATCCTTCAGAGTCAGGACTAAGCATGGGGCTGTGAGCAGAGTCAGGAAAGGTTGCAGGGTCGGAAAGGGAAGGTGGGAAGAGCAGGGTCCTGGGGAACTGCTAAGGCAGGCCTAGCTCTGCCCTCTCTGGCCAAGGCAGTTTAGCCCTCACTAATCCCCAGACAACCAGGGCGGGCTTCTCTCCAGTAAGGGTCCTGGGGAAGGGACTGGCACAGCAGTGGGTGGAAGGGTGCCACCCAGGCCACTTCAGAACTAGTTCTTCCTCCGGGCCCAGGGCAAGACACATGGGTGAACTCTCATCCCCTCTGCTCCTCAGTACCCTCCACCCACCACAAGCCCAAGGGACCATCACTTGTCACCAGCAAAGGGACCAGGGCAGGACCTGCTGGCACTCCGGTCCCTCTCACTGCTTCAGGGAGGTCCCTCTGTCTTCAGTCTAAAGCCTCTAGCCAGTCTCCCCACAGGCTCCCCAACCTCTGCTCCATAGCCACAGGGACCTCCTCTCCCTGCCCCTGGAGGCAAGCCTCTGCCTTCTCCTCCCAAGCCCCACCTCCAGTCTAGCCTCCACCAGGAAGCCCACCCTGACCCTCAGGCTAAACTAGGTTTCCTCAGTGCCCTTCCCAAGGTGTGAAAGTGGACGTGTACTTCTGTGACGCCCAGGTGACAGTACAGGTTCCTAAAGGGCCGGATGCTCAGGTCTTGCTCAGCCTGCACCTGTGCTTATCACTGTAACCCCACTTAAAGCAAGTCTGGCACCATCTGGATAGCTGGGCTGTCACTGTGAACAAGAACCACTAGTCCAGTGGGGCAGAGGCTATCATTTGCCCAGCTGCACAGGGGCTGAGCAGAGGAGAGCCCCCACTGAGAGTCCATGACCTCGGGCCGCAACAACCCCACCAGCTAAGGGAGCTGGAGCCTGGTGCGCCCTATTCAAGCGCTGCCAGTTTCGTGCATGGGTGCATCTTCCTTCCTTGTGCCTGTCAGTCAGACGCAATGGCTATCTGTGGAAAGAAATGGGGCTGCTGAGGGCTGTTGCGGGGATGGTGGGCAGGGCACCATTGTGGGGGCACCTCTCTCTGTCCCGACTGGGAAAAGCTTCTCTTGCTTCCCGCATGCTTCCAAATTCACCCGTTATCCTGCTCAGGTGAGGCACATCTGTTGTGTGCTAAGCCTAGGATCAGGGGAGGTGGTGTGGGCTGGCCCTTGCCGGTGCTCACAGGAGTCCAGCCCATGGCTGGGATCATCGGACATCCGAAATGGCACTGAACTCGTGCGCTGCAAGAACCCCAACGGGCAGCTAGTGCCTAGCATGCCCCTTCCAAGAGGGCGGCGGGGAGTGAGGAAGGAACCCCCGTTGGTCCCAGTGCGGGTGAGGCCCAGCTGGCTGGACGCGCCAGTCTGCCCCCTGCTGGCCAGGCCTGGCTGCTCAGTCACTCGGTGCCAGCCAATAAGCGAGGCTGGGCTGGGCGGGTCCCAAATACCTGGGCCATAAAAGCGAAGCGCTCTGTTGGTCCAGCACGCTTCTGGTTCTGACACGGACTCAGAAAGAAATCACCATGGTGCTGTCTCCCGCTGACAAGACCAACGTCAAGGCTGCCTGGGAGAAGATTGGCGGCCACGGTGCTGCATATGGTGCGGAGGCCCTGGAGAGGTGAGCGCCTTCCTCTGCCCTGCTCGGTCCCGGGGTTCAACACCCGCCCCAGTGACCAGCTGGCACCCTACCTGTTATGCCCCCATCCTCCTCGACTTCGCCCACACGCTGCTTTCTCCTTGCAGGATGTTCCTGTCCTTCCCCACCACCAAGACCTACTTCCCCCACTTTGACCTGAGCCACGGCTCCGCCCAGATCCAGGGCCATGGCAAGAAGGTAGCCGATGCCCTGGCCAACGCAGCGGCCCACGTTGACGACTTGCCTGGCGCCCTGTCCGCTCTGAGCGATCTGCACGCGCACAAGCTGCGTGTGGACCCGGTCAACTTCAAGGTGAGCGCTGGGGCCGGGAAAGTCTGGGAGGGACGGGCTGAGGGCGCAGGTGGCAATGTGGCAGGGCAGAACGTTAGGTGGAACACAGATGGCAGTGCCTCTATTGCCACTGACGGCCCTTCCTCTCTCCACAGCTCCTGAGCCACTGCCTGCTGGTGACCCTGGCTGCTCACCACCCGGCCGAATTCACCCCTGCTGTGCATGCCTCCCTGGACAAGTTTTTGGCCTCTGTGAGCACCGTGCTGACCTCCAAATACCGTTAAATTGGAGCCCCCGCGGGCCTTGCCCATCCATGCCCGTCAGGCCTCCTAGCCAGTTCCTCCTCCCCTCCTTGCACCTGCACCTCTTGGTCTTTGAATAAAGTCTGAGTGTGCGGCAGCCTGTGTGCCCTGGGTTCTTTGTGTCCGCCTAGATCCCAAGATTGGGGGTTGGTGGCTTCTTGGGAACACATCAAAGACCTCTATGTATCTGGAGAGGACAAGAAAAGTTAAGGGAGGGAGGGACAGAAAGAAGCCGGGTTTGGAACCAGTTCTGGTGGCTGCCCAGGATTCGCTGGACACCCCTCCACCCAGCAGAGCTGTGCTGTAGTTCCTCCCAGCATTTCATTCCAGGGCCTTGAAGATTTAACACAAGTTGGCGGCAATACTTACTGCCTTTGCTCCTCCTGTTCATATTTTATCACACATGCACACACAATTACACTCAAATGGCCCAGCAAGCTGGGCAATGTGGTACATGCTGATAATTCCAGCTATCCAGTAGGCAGATGCAGGAGGACTCTAAGTTGGAGGACAGACTGAGCAATTTAGCAAGAATCTGCCTCAAAACAAATAAACAAAAATGGCTGGGAGTTAGGCTTAGAGCACTTGTCTTACATGGGGTTGAGGGAAATTGGCCCAGCTCTCCCAGGGACCTTCCCAGAGAAGGATGGTGGTGAGGAAGCCACACTTCCTCAGAGTAACACTGAATCCTCTCCCTTCAGAGATCAGTCTCCCTAAAACCCCCAAATTCTCTCACAGTTCTGATAAGTTTAAGGGTGAGCAGGAATTGCAGATGCCATACCATTTTCTGGAGCTACCAACCCAGGATGTCCATTCTATGAATACTGTAGTCCTGGGGCCATGAAAGTCAGGAGACTCATCCTCTGGGCCCAGCCCCATGTCCACTCAGCTGCCCCATGTCATTGGGTGCTCCTGTCCCAGTGGAGCAGTAGAAAGAAGATCCAGAGCTAGGGAGACCTGGCTGACCTACCCCACATACTTCCTCCTAGCAGAGCAGGCCCAGGGCATGGGTATCAGAGGGAAGACTTGAGGGCCATCCGGCCCCAGCCCTCCACTTAAAAACACGGTTCATGGGGCTCAGTGGTAGAGCCCTTGTCTAGTATGTATGAGGCACTGGGTTTGATCTTCAGCACCACATAAAAATAAATAAAATTGAGGTATTGTGTCCATCTACAACTAAAATATTAAGAAACAACAAAACCCTCTTTCTGCCCTAAGCCCAAGACTCATCCTTACTATACTCTTTGACTCAGTAGAGTTCCAGGTAGGAGCCATCTTTGTTTTTGTTTTCGTACTGGGGATTGAACTCAGGAGTGCTCAACCACTGAGCCACATCTCCAGCCCTATTTTGTATTTTATTTAGAGGCAGGGTCTGAGTTGCTTATCACCTTGCTTTTGCTGAGGCTGGCTTTTAACTTGTGATCTTCCTGCCTTGGCCTTCCGAGCCACTGGGATTACAGGCATGCCCCACTGCGCTGGATGATGGATGGGCCCAGGCACAGCTCCATCTTTGATATTTTGTTTTATCATGGAGGCCTCAGCTACGGTGGAAACACATCAAATGTACATCAGTGGACACATGTGCACACAAAATGTGGCTTAAAATTTAGGCATAAAAAGAAATAAAATTTGCAGGATGTGGACAAATCGTGAAAACATTATGCTGAGTGAAAGAAGCCAGACCCTGAAGACTACATATCATATAATCTCATTTATATGATATGTAAATCATATGATATATAAAATATGATATATAAATCCCAGTTATTTGGGAGGCTGAGGAAGAAGGATCACAAGTTTTAAGCCAACCTGGGCAACTTAGCAAGATCCTGTTTCAAAATAAAAAATATAAGGGCTGGGAATGTAGTTCAGTGGTAAAGCACCATTGTATTGAATAAGGAGGAGGAGGAGAATAAGGAGAGGAAGGGGAGGGAGAAGGCCAGCTAGCCTATAAGCAGAATAAGCAGGTCTGTGGGGGAAAGAAGCAGATTGGAGGTAACCAGGAGCTAAAAGAAGGGGATTGGGCAGTTACTGCTAATGGCTGAGTTTCTGTTTAGCATGATGAAAAAGCTCTGAAACTAGACATTAGTGATGGCTGCACAATTCGGTGAATGTTCTAAATGTCACTGAATTATATACTGTTAAGATGGATTTAATGGTAAATTATGTGGAGTCTAATTTGGGGGGGAGGGGAGAGACTTCAGATTGAATCTAGGAGTGCTCTCTACCATTGAGCTACATTCCCTGTCTTTTTTACTCTTTGTTTTGAGACAGAGACTTGCTAAGTTGCTCAGGCTAGCCTCAATTCAACTCAATTCCCAGTAATGCATTAAAAATATTTTAAAAGATGTTATGTGTGTTAGGGCTGGGGTTGTAGCTCAGTGGCAGAGTACTTGTCTAGTCTAGTATGTGTGAGGCACTGGATTCGATCCTCAGCACCACATATAAATAAAAAATAAAGGTACATCAACAAATAAAAAATATTTAGGGGGGGAAAAGGTGTGATATGGAATCTGGCAGAATATGCTGAATAGGTATTTACTATTATTATTTGGACACAAACCAGGCACCTAATAAATGTTCATTGTTCTGAAAGTAACATCTACTATGAGCCAGGCACCTGGCATTTGCTATCCATTTAATTCTCATTTCATACAATAAATTAGTAGACAGACTGAGGAAGGTGTCCCAATAGATACCGGAGGTAGGGGACACGCCAAAACACAGGCTGAAACTCAGTGTTATCTGGGCATTACCTTCCACATAGCAAACTCGTTAACGTATGGGGCCTCGGGGTTCAGGGAGACTGAGGGTAGCAGCCTGAGCACAGTGGAGACCCTCTGAGACCCGGGACCACAGGTCAGCGCGAACGCTCAAGGCGCCCCCTGGAAGCCACGCAGAAGTCCTCCAAAGGCGCCGGCTGGGTGCAGGCTGGGCGCGAAGTGCTCGGCGGGAGAGCCGGCATGGCGCTGTCTGCCAGGGACCGGGCGATGGTGCGGGCGCTGTGGAAGAAGCTGGGCGACAACGTTGGCGTCTACACGACCGAAGCCCTGGAGAGGTACGAACCGGGCGGAGGGACCCCACTCCTACCCGCTGCTCGGCCCGCTTCGGAGACGCGCACTCACACTCCGTTCCCCGCAGGACCTTCCTGGCCTTCCCTGGCACCAAAACGTACTTCCCTCATTTGGACCTGAGTCCCGGCTCCGCCCAAGTTAAAGCTCACGGCCAAAAGGTGGCTGACGCGCTGACCCTTGCCGTAGATCAGCTGGACGACCTGCCGGGCGCCTTGGCCTCTCTGAGCGACCTGCACGCACACAAGCTGCGTGTGGACCCAGCCAACTTCCAGGTGAGCGTGCAGGCCAGGCCGGACCCAGCGTCGCCGGGGGAGGGGTCCCACCAGGGAAGGGTGTTGATGATGGATGGGCTCAGGCACAGCTCCATCTGCCCGCAGCTCCTGTGCCACTGTCTGCTGGTGACCCTCGCCCGACACTATCCCGGGGACTTCAGCCCCACCATGCAGGCCTCGCTAGACAAGTTTCTGAGCCATGTGACCTCCACGCTGGTCTCCAAGTATCGCTGAAATCCGGTGGGTCATCTGGGGGCCTCCAGGAGTTCCCTTTCCGGAGGACCCCGCCTTGAATAAAGTCCCCCAGAACGTGTCCTGGAACGTATGTCCTTTAGACACAGGGATGGATGAGAAAGACTCCGTCCTCTTAAAGTGGGGGCGAGAGTCTGAGGCATAGGGTCTCACAGCCCTCAGGTGGTAAGGGCTGCAGAGGCGGCAGCAGCTCCTCACGTTGCTGGCTCCCTCCTGACACTCCTCGGATCCACGGGCGCTGGGATAGTGCCCACTGCATGGCCCCTCACTCACCAACCCAGCCTAGGAGAAAACCAGGCACAGCCCCCACCCCTACCTCCAACAGAGGCAGAAGCGGTGCAGGGGTGGTGTCAGTTCCTGAGGGGAGGCTTGTGAAAGTCAGGAGTTACCTGACTTTGGACCAGGTGGAAGGAGGCAAGTCCAGCCCCAGCACCCAGTCAGGTGTGTGTGGGGGTCCACACTGGAATCATGCCTTCATCTAGTCTCCAAAGAGAGGAAAGGTAGGGTATTTTTTTCCATATAAAATCGACCATGGTAACTGCAGAGACTTTGGGAAGTAATTACCCTATTTACTGCCCCTTTCTGCTACCCAAGTCAGGAACGGACCTGGCAGAAGACAAAGGTACATTCCAGAGCACCAGCATGGCAAAGACCTACCACCAATGGGCACAAACAGGTCTGCAGCCATGCATGTTGCCAGTGGACAGCCTTTCAGATCCTTCTAGGCACTTAAAAAGGGCTGAGGATGTGGTTCAGTGAGTTCAATCCTCAGTGCCAAAATAAAATATCAGTGGACAGAGCAGACCACACAGGAAGAGTGTGTTGTTGGTCATCAACCTTCCTGGGCTGGCAGTACACAGGCACTTCTAGGGGACTGTGGGGTTCCCAGAAGAGACTGGCATTGGAACCAGGAAACTGCAGATCCCCCTGTTCAATGCCACTGGGCCATTGTCCACCCACTAAGTGCCTGAACAGAACAAAACAATGAAGGGAGGCGAAATGCTCTCTGCTTCGGCAGTGATATCCATCTTCTGCCCTTGATGTAGAGCTTATAGTTCTCAGGCCTTCCAAGCAGGACTGACTTCCTGTCCTGGGACAGCAGGTACCAATACCGCATAACTATGCATCTGCATGTCCTACTCCCTTTGTTTCTCTAAAGAATCCTAATATAGGAAGGAAAGGGAAAAAAAAAAAAAAAAAAAAACAAGGACAGTAAAATCAGCCAGGTGTGGTCTAGTCCTGGCATTTAGGAGGCTGAGAAGATGGGTGGCTTGAGTTCAAGTCCAGACAGGCAACACAGTGAGACACAGTTTCAAAAAAAAAAAAAAAAAAATTAATTAAGGGCTGGGCTCAGTGGTAGAATGTTTGCCTAGCATGTGTGAGACACTTGGTTCGATTCTCAGCACTTCATATAAATAAAAAACTTAAAAAAGGTTCATATATATATATATAAAAATATTGAACACAATACCTTTATTTATTTTTATGTGGTGCTGAGG